TTTTTTTCCCACTCCATCATGATTGTAGAGAAATGTTTTCAGACTCCTGGTGGCAAAGTCAGGATCTGTAAGCATATCTGTTTTGGGATACCCCCCGTCAATGGGAAGGAAAAGCTACGGTCACAGGCGAGTGAGATCCCTCAGATAGCCCAGATGTGCAGGGGCTTCTGATGTTATTACCAAAAATCTGAGAGGGGTGAAATTGTAAAAATGCAGTGAAAATTGCTGCCTTTGTCTTCCAGAAGAACAGGAAGCATTAAGGAAAAGAGTCAGTCAATGAAAACTTTTTATAGGTTTTAGAGCATCGGTTCTAAAGCATCAAGTGTGCAAATCATCAGCTCACCTGAATGAGAAACTTCCGAATCCTTTGCTACCAGTCAAGAAAATGTAAAAGAAAGTGCCCTTATCACTTAGCATTACCCACAGCGTGACTGCTGATAGCCAGAAGCATCCCAGGACTTTCTTGTGTCCCTCCCGGAGTGCAGACACACAAGGAACCATTCAGCAGCTTCTCCACAAGGCTGCTGTCAAGGAGTTTCCTTCCAGACTGCACTCACGTCTGGGATACAGGCTCTGAGTTGGGATTTCCTGCAGTCAGGCACTGAGATTGCAAGGGATGACATGCCAGACACCAAATAGTTCCTCTCCTGGCTCTTGGAGACAGCAGCAGAAGTGGCAGATTGACTGCCTGCTTCCCTTTCTGCCCCTGCTCTGCATGAGGGAGAACTTTTGGGCTCACTCCAGTTTCCTCACCATTTCCCTACTCTTCTTTATTCTTAACTCAGGAAGCTCAGAAAATGACAAAGTTAAAAAACCCACACAGGAAGCAAAGTTATTCCCCCGGCCCTGCTGAGCCACCTGTTCTGGGAGGAGGAACAGAAAGGGAGACAGGCCCTGCAATGTCCACAGGGAGTGCCCATCACTGCAAGGCCTGCAGCCAACTCCTTGTGCACCTGACCTCCCAGTGCTGTCTGGGAGTCAGCACTGACTCTGGGAGTCAGCTTCCCAAAAAACACTTGAGAGCAACGACCACCTCCGAGTTTGAAATGAAGGGCTGTCTTGGAATTCCAGGGAAAGCCACTGCAATGGCCGAGGGACTCTGCAAAGGGGTCTCTGCAAAGCCCCTGACTACACACAGCTGTAAAAGTCTCCGGGGCACCAAATGTCAAAGGGTTCAGATCTTTTCCCCAGGATGAGGACTGATGAGCAGAGAGACGGCTTTTGTCTTCAGACTTAGGATGTTTGTTTTACCTTATCTACTTTACATTTTTACAGATAGTAAGTACTTCCACACACTAACCTAACAAGCTACAAACGGAGAATGTGGGCTCTGTCCACAAGGCCTTTTAAGCATAAACCATCCAGTTATCAAATGCCAACCCATTTACTTATACTTTTAACCCAATAACCAAACACCCATGTTCTGCACTGCATACCTTTCCATCCAATCACCCCATACCAGCCAAAACCATGGAGAAGAAAGAAGAAAGGCAAAGACAAACCAACACCCAAGAACCTATACCTTGTCTCTTATTCACTACTACATCTCAAACTCTAAACTGTCTTTTTCACCCAGTGAATTAACATAATGCTATCTAATTCACACATCGACATTCCCAGCTCCTCCACTCAGTTTTAGAAGCCTTCTCCATGGTCTTAACTCCAACCCTGTGTTCTCTCAAGTGCCGGAGCCGGTCAGCACAGATCAAAAGGACATTTTCTGTGCCTGGGACTCCAACACACAGCCACTTCTTAGGCATCACTGCTGGCATCACAGCAGCTCCAGGGAAATCCAAACAAGCGCTTTGACTATTTATCCATCTGCCAAGTGCTTCAGATACCTACTGCTTTTGATGCAGGAACACAAGAATGGGCCACCACCAAGCTACAAAGCTCAGCTTGGGCTGAAACCCAGAGAAACCCAGCAGTGCTGGCAGGGGCTGGGCAGCCACAAGCTGCCAAAACCTCCTCTGGCGGAGGACAGCTGAGGTTTTGTTTTCTCAGGAAACCAGGATCCCAAGAAAACACTAAAAGCACCAAAACACACAAAACAACAGCTTACAAGGCTTTCCGTTTTCTCAGAAGGGTATTGGTGACCAATGGGAATCAGCTGTGGGAACATTCCCCTTACAGGTTTGATAACACCCTTACAGGAGATCAATCATGGCTCTAGTGCCAACGTATGAAGTGGAAACTCCACTTGGGTTTTTCAAACACCACCTTGGTCATTGTCCAAACCCACGTCCCCCTGCCCCTCTCACCTTCCTCTCTCCAGGGGACTCCTCTGAACTCCTCATGGCTCTCCTCTTCAAGTCTGGCTTCCTTGAAGGTGAGAGCAACTTCTCTCCAGGAGACAAGGGCACCTTCTCCTTGTGCAAATCCCAAGGCCGGTGGCCACTGGGAATAATGGTGTCACGTTAATCTGTTTGCTTAAGCTCTTCAAGATCTTTTCCAACCTCAACAATTTCATGAGTAGATCATGAAATAATAATTCTTCAGTTGGGGAAAATTCCCTGCATTGAGGTTTTCTGAGAAAAATCTGACTGATAGCCCAAATGTTTGTTCATTCCAGGTTCTTTCAAGTATCTGCCCGGCAGAGGTGGAAACACGGTCTGTTTACTTACGATGTTCTTGGCTGAGAACTCGGCAACCTTCCTGACGCTCTGCCTGCCTGCTCTGGAAAGCAACAAAGGAAAAGGTTGCATTTCTTTACCCTGTGGTCTCTGAACAAGAGATTAGAGAGTCACTCTCTTCCAGGAGGTATTTGTCAAAAAGGTTGTTCATCACCCCAGATGGGAGTTTCCTAACTAAATAGTGCTTGTCCTCTGCTGAGCTGCTACCTTGAGTTCTACGTAATGATTGCTTACAGTTTCTTGAGCCATTCCTAAATTCATCCCTGTTCAGCACAGCAGAGGAAATCACACTGCTTAATCAGTGGGAACGCTTGATGGTCTCTGCCACATCTAACACACAAAATTACCTGTCAGCACAGAAAGAACTGGGTTTCCTTTGCATTTCTCTTTATTCTGTTTCTGTGCTGCAGATCCATCAGGTTGGGATTCCTAGAAGTAAAGGACAAAGTAGCTTAGCATGTACCTTAACATCACATCTCCTGACATCAAACCTGTGTTAATGGCACATTAGGGGCACGTGCATTTTTGAATAAATAGTTTTAAAACATTCTAAGAGCTGCCAAAGAGCTGAAGTGAACTTCTGCTAAGCAGAAAGATCTCTTGGCACTGATCAGCAGTCCTGGCAAAAATGGGCTGGGGTACCTTTCCTGCCAATGGAAGTCTGCACGTCTCTGCTCTTGTAGGCGTCTGAAGAGGTGACAGGAGAGGTGGCAGTGAGCTGCTCATTTCCTGGAAAGACAGGGAGAGAAGCAGCTCTCAACTTCTATTTTATCTCCACCCATTTCCTTAATAAATGCAAAACGTAAACAAACACAGAGATCTGCTTTTTAAGAGAACTCACTCTCAAAATTTCTTCAATTGATGGCACATCAATGGGCTTCTTTTCCTGAAACATGAATGAGGGAAACAGGAGGAGTTTATTCTGGTGTTTCAGTAATGGCAGGTTCTTGGCAAACCTTTGCTAACCAACAGCTCTATAAATGTCCTGCAAGTGTATTAGTCCTAAAATGAGAGTAAGGATGAAATGGCCCATCTGAAGGGCAGTTAATAACAGAGAGCAGGCATGGACAGAGCTGTCAACTCCTCCTCGGAGATGTCTGTATTCCCTTTGGAATGTGGCAGTCAGGGAACACTGCTGCCACGTCTAAACTACTGCTACTACTCCTACATCTCTCACCTCTGCCTGCAATGGAAATTTGCAAGTCTCTGTTCTAGCAGGTGACTGCAGAGGTGGCAGGAGAGGTGGCAGGCAGCTGCTCATTTCCTGGAAAGAGTGGGAGAGAAACTGCTCCCAGCACTTTTTGCTGATGCACACAGAGGGAGTTTCACCCTTCCCAGAGTCAGAGGGATCCACCTCCTCATGGATTTGCACAAGCTTCCCCATGGAGATCTGATATTGAAGAGCACCCACCTTCAATATTCCTTCAATGGACTGTACATAAATGTGCACGATGGGCTGAAAGAAGAAAGAGGGAAGCAGTGTGAGTATGTTTGGGTATTTTACTGATTGATAGGAAACAAGCATGTACTCAGCAAACATTTCCTTACCAACTGCTCTAGAAAGGTCAGACAAGTCCATGCATAATGAAATGCCAGTAAGGATTAACAGCACTATCTAAAAGGCAGTGAGGAGCAGAGACCAGGCAGAGGAAGAGCTGAAGCCACCAAGATCACCTGCTGCAACATCAATGTCTGCCTTCCCTGGCAGTCAGGAAACACTGTTTCCATTCCTGACTTTTTATTACTGTAGTAAGAAAGAATGTTCCTGCAGGCTGCTCCCTTTTTAAAATATCACTTTTCTTTAGTTGCTCTTGAAGCAGCTAAGCTTTGCCTGCAAAGGCACAGGCAGCCTCTGCATTTCCAAGAGTTGAGCAAAAAGCTTCATTAGTTAAGATAAAACGCTTAGAAATAATAGTTCCCAATTCTAGAGAAATTCTCACTTCAATTCTAGAGAAGGAGAAGTGTTTGTCATTCACCCAAATAACATCAGACTGATTCTTCTGAAGTAAAAATACACCCTGGCTAAAATGCAACCCTTGCACAGTGCACTTGGTGCTTGGCTTCCAGTCCAAAGCACAGCTCCTGCTTTTGTAACTCAGGCTGGCTCCAGACTGGGTCCTCCTGCCAAGATTGAGCTTTTGCTCAGCAAAGACTTGACCATCATCACTTGGGCTCCTGGAAAGACATCCTACTACTTATTACACACAGCAATTGTGTGCAGAGAAAGGTCAGGCCTTCTGGCACAGGAGCTTTTCTGAAGGACTAAACCAGAGAGCGCAAACTTCAAACTCAGCCCAGCTTATGGACAAGCTCTGCAAGGTAGCTTTGGTTCTGGGGAGCATTTCTGGCACAAGGAAAGCACCCACACTGGGAGCTCCTGCAAGACAGAGCAGACCCTCCATCTCTTTTCAGGCAGCTTCACGGGATGCCTTGTCCTTCCTTCTCCCTAAGGACAGAAGTGCTCTTGAGTTGTCCTGAAATTCAGCTTCTTGAAACCTGACATGGCAAACTGCAGATGACCTCAGGTTCTCTTGACTTTGGAGTTGGCCTTTTTTATGGATTTAGTTTTCTTTTTGGTGGTTTTTTTTGTTTTTTTTATGGTTTTGTTGTGTTGTTTGGTTTGGGTTTTTGTTTGTTTTCTTTTTCCTTTTTTTTCTTTCTTTATCGGTTGTGATTTTTTTTGGACTCTCCTTTTAAAGTACACTCCAAGAAAGATGCCACATTTCTGTTCCTTTATGCACACTGACACTTCCTAATTGGGCCCTGTCATCAAGCCTCTCCCACATGACATGAACTAGGAAGTTGGCTTTACAAACCCCTTTTCTTAAGGGGCTGGAAGAAGAGCTAAAACCTGGCACAAGAGGACATGGGATACATCTCAGCATCATGGATGCTGCAGTTTGAAGGCTTCTCCCAGTTCATTTGGAAAGATACCTTAAAGAGACTGTGGTGACACTGGAGAGCGAAGGTTCTGCTTTGGAAAAGAGGGGAAAGGGCTGTTCAATATCTCTGTGAAGGCCAAGCGAGTCCCTGCATGCCTATGCCCTGTGGATTCATTCCCTCTGCACTGGATCTGCTTGCCTGTTCCATCTGTAAGACTCAATTTTCAGTGCTGCCAGGAAAAGAAGCTGTCAATAAGGAATTCCCACCTGCAGGTGATGTGCACCTTAGACATTCAATGAGCCAAAAGCCTGGGCTGGAAGAAATGGCTTTCCCAAGGGATGTCCGAGGAAGTCCCTGGAAAAACCCAGTTTGGCATGTGGCTGTTCAGTACACCTGCGGCCAAAGCCTTTCATTCAGATGGAATTCAAAGCAGGAGGAGGGAAGAACAGCAGAGTTTCTTCTGCTCTGGACCTCTTCACTGTCAGGGTCGCTGCAGGGTGTTACTGCGTGTGCCGCAAGGAACCCGTGAGTGCGACCTGCGTTCTCGGGGCTTGGAGAACACCGCTAGAAATTGCTGATGATAAAAGGGAAGGGACAGGTCCTTGTTGGAGTATCCAAAGACTGTTTATTCAAAGGATAACAGCCTCACATGAATTCAGGGATGAGAACAGGATCGGACTCAGGGCACAGGTTAAACACAGGGACAAATGGGGTGGGTCTGAGGGTCAAGGTCCAACAGGGACAAGGGAAAATGCTGCAGGGAGTGGCTAAAGACCGGGAGAATGGATTGGGATAACAGGGTGTGATAGATTGGCATTTAAGAAAACAAAGACAAACACCTAATGAAGTTAAAACCGCTGGAGGCTGATGGGAGTTTTTCTCCTGGCCAACTACTGGCCATTTCTAAGAATTAACAGCAGTTTTGACCACTGAAACGTGAGATCAACCTGTGAACACCAACTTAAGCCTGGGAATTTCTTTGTCTCTTTGTTTCCTGGCTGTGAAAGGTAACAGAGCTCCAGCTGGCCTCCCGTTCCCCTGCCCAGCCCAT